CAGAACCTGATGGAATAAATCAGTCATATCTATTCATGGATGAGCCTGGCACACAGATTTAACATTTTTTGTGAGCCGATGGACTCTCTCTTCTTGACAGTGGTTGAGTGAACATTACCAGCAGTTGCTTCTCTGTCATTATTATTATTATTTTGTAATGCTTTACTTTCTGGTCAGTCTCTAACTGGTGTATATTTCTTTTAATATGCTAATACCCTACATCTGCTTATACCCAGGGCTTGCTAACCTGTGTCTCATTTGTAAGTCAAACTTATGTAAATCGGCTTTGAGCCACAATGTGTTGATTTTGTTATTTCTCTCAAAAGACAATTGTTTTAGTCTGGTTTTGCTGATATAACAGAGCACCCGAGACTGGATAATTTATAATGAACAGAAATTTATTGCTTACAGTTCTGGAGACTAGGAAGTCCAGAATGAAGTCATTGGCATCTGGCAGGGGCCTTCTTGCTGCATCATTCCTTAGCAGAAATCAGAAGTGTTGAGAGAGACAGAAAGAGGGAGGGAAGGAGGGAGGGAAGAAGGGAGGGAGGGAGGGAGAGGGAGAGAGAGTAAAAGGGGCCCAAATCCCACTTTTATAACAAACCTACTCCTGGGATAATGCCATTAATCCTTTTGTTCTGCCCTTATTACCTAATCACCTCTCATTAGGCCCTACCTCCCATCACTGTTGCATTAGGGATTAAGTTTCCAACACATGTTTTTTGGGGAACGCATTCAAGTCATAGCAGTGATCTTGTTAATTTTGTACCCAACTTCTTGGCATGTCATTGTTGCTCCAATGTACCACTTGTTTCTCTCCTTTACTATGTGATTATTAAAAAATATAATAAAATCATCCTTGAAATCCTAGTGATTTATGGCATTTCCAAAATTTCTATGTAGGAAGGACTTGGGGGTTATGCCCTGTTGGAAATGAGAGTGGAGGACTCCTGTAGCATCTGGAGAATAAGCACACTGGCTTTACAAAGAAGGTATTTCTATGTGGCAGTAGCTAAAAGCTGTGTTTACATAGTAATCATGTTTTCACTTGAGTTAGATGTTTATTTAGAGTGATTTGAGTTATCTGCTCACTGATGAGGATCGTGAATATTTCTGCCTCCCTAAGACCACCCTTGGTTGCCATTCAGTGCAAGGTTTACTTTAACCACGATAGTATAGACTGGCTTTGCAATATTCCTGGGGATGGTATTAATTAATTGGCTCTCTCCAAGCAACCTCAAATTACTTGTATCATTTTTTTTTGTCTACAGCTATTTACTTGCACCTGTGTATATTTTATGTGCAAGTTTTGCAAATCTGCAAACCACTAACTTTGTCAGCAAAAGGACAATTTTCGCCTGAAAATATCCTCTTTACCAGAGAGTAAGCAAACTTTCCCTCTCCACTTGCACAATTCTATCCTATCCCCAGGCAATGCAGACAATACCTGTGTGGGCATTCTGGTATCTCTCAATTAACTCACAGCAACTGCAACCAATCCCTTGTTATCCAGGTTCCTCCTGGAATTCTAATAACAGTATCAAATTAGTAGGAGAATATCATGTGCAGAAATGAAAATGACTAAAATTTATAGGTGTGCATGTGTGTGTGTGTGTGTGTGTGTGTGTGTGTGTGTGTTGGATGTATGTGTGTTCCCTTTAATTTTGTCCAATAGCTAATACAAACCATATTATCAGTTATTTGGATGATCCACGGCAGTTTCTTCAATTCATTAACATAAGTATGAGTTTTCTACAGCAAATTTAGGGGCTTGATGGGACCAGCAGTTAGCGTAATGACTATGTCACTGGACTCCCATGTAGTCGACCGCAGGTCGAGTCCTGGACCCGGTGGCTTAAACTCATGCCAGGCACGTGTGCGTGCATGCCCAAGATCCTGAGAGGAGAACGGAGAAGGGATTGTGGTGTGGCCATCCCCCCTTGGGGGGTGGTTTCTCGCTTTCTGTCTCTCTGTCTCTCTCTGTCTGGCGAGCGCACATGCCCTATAGCAAAAACCTCTTCAAAAAAAAAAAATAAAAAGGTAATCCAAATGTTATTATCTAACAATTCCGCATTTCAGAAGTTCAGAATGAGTCTCAGTGAGCTAAAATCAAGAGGGTGGCTAGGCAGTGTTTCCTCTAGAGCCTCAAGGGCTGAATCTGTTTCCTTACCTACTCTCTCTTATAGAGGTTACCCAAATTCCTTGGCCCACCGACCTCTTCTTGCAGTGTCAAAGCCTGTAATGTTGGATCCTTTGAGTACTGTTACTCCTCTGCTTCTCTTCTGCCTCTCTCTTTCCTTTTTTCCTTTTAAGGATTCTTGTGATCACATTGGGTTTACCTGGATAATCCAGGATAATCTTGGTATTTCAAATCAACTGATGAGCAACCCTCATTCAATCTGTAACCTAAATTCCCCTTTGTAATGTAAATTTACATATTTTCATGTTCCAGAAAGTAGGACAGATATCTTTTAGGAGTTAGGGATAGTATTATTATGCCTACTACACATAAAAAGTCAAAACGATCTCTCAAAATTTTAGTATGAGTACTCCTGCTTCACTGTTTCACCTCAATGTGATTTGATATTTTTATAGATACGAAGATCCCCTAAGTATGTGGGGAATATGCAGGGTTGCTCTTGTTGAAGTTCCTCCTACCACAGTGAGCACCACAGTAACATGCCTTCCCATCAGAGTTTGCCTGGAGAGTCACTGAAAAAATTCTCTTTGCCCTTCCTTATTTTTCATCTTCCTAGGCCTCTCACAAGAACATGGATTTTGTACAATTAGTTATTGGTTTGGGTGAAGAAACTGTGTCTTCAACTGATTTTTTTGTTTTTTAAAAAATTATTTAATTTTATTGATTATTAGTAGTATTATTTTTAATTTGCCTATAGAGCATATGTACTCATGAGAGAGAGACAGAGACACAGAGAGAAAGTAAGAAAGCAAGCTGCCAGGTCTGGGTCTGATACCATGGTTGCCCAGGGCCTGAACCACCACACTGCCTGCTGCCCTTCAACTGACTTTTTAAAAATCAAATTATGAAGTTTGGTAGCACATAATTAGACTGACACTATTAAAACCTCTGCATCTATTAATATATTACAGAAATTAGACCATTACCTGGTAGGATAATAGGGCAGGTAAATTTAGAGTCTGGGTCATTCAGGAGACCAAAGTGTGCAGGGCAGGAGGGGTCACTGCAGTAGAGAGTGATGGAAATGGGAGGGCCTCCGGGAGACCTGTTCATTCATAAATGGAACAAAGTGCTTATTCTATACAGTAAGCAACACATCAGAATTTCAGAATTTCAATAGTGAACAAAATATCCAGTTGATTCCCTCTAAGCATTAGGTTTTAGTCTGTTACCATGTTGCTAAGCAGAAATACTTAAGACTGGGTGATTCCTGAGAGGACAATGGAGGAGAAAGGATTACAGCATGGCCACCCCCCTCAAGGAGTACTCTCTCTCTGTCTCTGTCTGGTCTCTGGTGAACACATATGCTATTAGCAAAAAAACAAAATAAGCAATCCATGAAGCACAAGTGTACAGCTTGACTAATCTTTATCATGTAAATGCACTCATCCAGGTCAAGAAAAAGAGCATTACTATAGAACTAAGGACCCAGGACCAGCAGATGGTGTAATGGTTGTTTCACTGGACTCCCATGTTCAATCATGGTTCGAGTCCCAGACACAGTGACTTAAAATTCACACCAGGCACATGTACATACATGCCCCAAATCCTAAGAGGAGACTGGAGGAGAAGGGATTGGAATAATAGGTACGCCCCCCCCCCCCCCTCCGGGGTGTGATTTCTCTCTTTCTGTCTCTCTGTATCTCTCTGTATCTCTCTGGTGAGCACACATGCCCTATAGTAAAAATCTTCCCCCCTCCCCAAACAAAACCAAGGGCCCTTCTTTTAACCCCTCTTAGAAATTTCTTAGTCAAAAGATAATCATGACTCAGATTTCTATTTCTAAGACCATAGATTAGTTTTGGTTGTTTTGAAACTTTGAGTAAATGCTATCATTGGTACGTACTCTTTTGGGTCAATGAGGGTCAGCCTTTGTGCTTCATGTTATAGTGCTTTATTTTTGTCGGTTTATACTATTCCATTGTGTACATATTGTAACGTAGTTATCCCATCTGCTTTTGATTATGAATTATTTCCAGTTTGGGCTATTATGAATAATGCTGCAATAGACATTTATGTCCATGTTTCTATTTTCTCCTTGGGGGATTCTGGGCACATATATACATGTGCCTGGTATGACTTTCAAGCTGCTGGATCTGGGACTCAAACCATGGTCAGCCATGTGGGGGACAGATATCTTTTAGGAGTTAGGGATAGTATTATTATGCCTACTACACATAAAAAGTCAAAACGATCTCTCAAAATTTTAGTATGAGTACTCCTGCTTCACTGTTTCACCTCAATGTGATTTGATATTTTTATAGATACGAAGATCCCCTAAGTATGTGGGGAATATGCAGGGTTGCTCTTGTTGAAGTTCCTCCTACCACAGTGAGCACCACAGTAACATGCCTTCCCATCAGAGTTTGCCTGGAGAGTCACTGAAAAAATTCTCTTTGCCCTTCCTTATTTTTCATCTTCCTAGGCCTCTCACAAGAACATGGATTTTGTACAATTAGTTATTGGTTTGGGTGAAGAAACTGTGTCTTCAACTGATTTTTTTGTTTTTTAAAAAATTATTTAATTTTATTGATTATTAGTAGTATTATTTTTAATTTGCCTATAGAGCATATGTACTCATGAGAGAGAGACAGAGACACAGAGAGAAAGTAAGAAAGCAAGCTGCCAGGTCTGGGTCTGATACCATGGTTGCCCAGGGCCTGAACCACCACACTGCCTGCTGCCCTTCAACTGACTTTTTAAAAATCAAATTATGAAGTTTGGTAGCACATAATTAGACTGACACTATTAAAACCTCTGCATCTATTAATATATTACAGAAATTAGACCATTACCTGGTAGGATAATAGGGCAGGTAAATTTAGAGTCTGGGTCATTCAGGAGACCAAAGTGTGCAGGGCAGGAGGGGTCACTGCAGTAGAGAGTGATGGAAATGGGAGGGCCTCCGGGAGACCTGTTCATTCATAAATGGAACAAAGTGCTTATTCTATACAGTAAGCAACACATCAGAATTTCAGAATTTCAATAGTGAACAAAATATCCAGTTGATTCCCTCTAAGCATTAGGTTTTAGTCTGTTACCATGTTGCTAAGCAGAAATACTTAAGACTGGGTGATTCCTGAGAGGACAATGGAGGAGAAAGGATTACAGCATGGCCACCCCCCTCAAGGAGTACTCTCTCTCTGTCTCTGTCTGGTCTCTGGTGAACACATATGCTATTAGCAAAAAAACAAAATAAGCAATCCATGAAGCACAAGTGTACAGCTTGACTAATCTTTATCATGTAAATGCACTCATCCAGGTCAAGAAAAAGAGCATTACTATAGAACTAAGGACCCAGGACCAGCAGATGGTGTAATGGTTGTTTCACTGGACTCCCATGTTCAATCATGGTTCGAGTCCCAGACACAGTGACTTAAAATTCACACCAGGCACATGTACATACATGCCCCAAATCCTAAGAGGAGACTGGAGGAGAAGGGATTATAGTATGGCCATCCCCCCCCCCTCCGGGGTGTGATTTCTCTCTTTCTGTCTCTCTGTATCTCTCTGTATCTCTCTGGTGAGCACACATGCCCTATAGTAAAAATCTTCCCCCCTCCCCAAACAAAACCAAGGGCCCTTCTTTTAACCCCTCTTAGAAATTTCTTAGTCAAAAGATAATCATGACTCAGATTTCTATTTCTAAGACCATAGATTAGTTTTGGTTGTTTTGAAACTTTGAGTAAATGCTATCATTGGTACGTACTCTTTTGGGTCAATGAGGGTCAGCCTTTGTGCTTCATGTTATAGTGCTTTATTTTTGTCGGTTTATACTATTCCATTGTGGACATATTGTAACGTAGTTATCCCATCTGCTTTTGATTATGAATTATTTCCAGTTTGGGCTATTATGAATAATGCTGCAATAGACATTTATGTCCATGTTTCTATTTTCTCCTTGGGGGATTCTGGGCACATATATACATGTGCCTGGTATGACTTTCAAGCTGCTGGATCTGGGACTCAAACCATGGTCAGCCATGTGGGAGTCCACTGCCTTAACCACCACACCACCTGCTAGTCCCTCTCTTTGGCTTTTTTTAAATTTCTAAATTTAAGATTATGAAGAGCTAGTTGGATTTTGTTTCTCATATGAATTTAATTAATGAGCCTGTTCACCAGTCAGAGTTCTCCTGGTTAAACTGAAAAAAAAATGGACACCACAAATCGGCCAAACTTAGATGGGCCTGTAGGCCTGACAGTTCTGCCAAGGTAGATCTTGCCTGAGAAATGTTGCAATCCTTCCTCCTCCTTTCCCTTCTCTTCTTTTGAACTACAGAAACAGTAGGCAGATAACCAGAGCTAGAATTTTCTCCTATGATATCATAGCTTAATATATGTTGGATGTTGCCATAAATGTTCTCCAAGATGTTTATTTATTGGATTGTTGAATGTACTAATTGGCTGCCTGAGATACCTCCCTAGTAAAGAGTTTAATTGTAGAGAGACTCACAGATAAGTGGACAAAGGCACAGATCTTCTGTTCTTTTCCTTCGTGCCAATAATAGGAGCTGTATGACTAGTATTTTCCCTCCACAGGATCTTTGGCCTTTTCTGGTATAATATTACATGCAAAATAGATCCAAAGCTTCCTCATGAAACCAGAGCTTACTGGTGGATTGCTCTCCCTCCACATTCATGCACCACCTCCTCTCTTCACCCTTATTACATAACTATCCAAAGTCGCATGGACTCCTTTCACCTCAGACCAAGATGTCATCACCTCCAGCTTTGGATCTATTCCATGTTTGGATGGGCAGACTCCAAGGAGTACTTCATCAGCCCATGCTGCGCTTCGTGCCTCCAAAGTTATGGCCCCTGCCAGTGCTGCATACTCAGTGTAATGGCCTGTGGGCTTCTGGGAAACAAAAGGGCAGGTGATGGAGGGCAGCCATCAGAAATTGGCAGGAAACAAGGTTCTTTTTGAGCAAAACCATAAAGAAGAACATGAATCAAATAGAAAACAGTTTAGAGGCTCTGGAAATATGATTGCATCCTCCTTTATATGTCACACATAGAAATTGAAAGAGATGACTGTGATCCCAAATTCCCAGGTCCTTGACTGCCACTGTCACAGGAAGAGGAGAAAGAGATACAGTGGGGACATGCAATCAAAATGCACTCTGTTACTCTAAACTTTTGGCTCCAAATCCTGCCTTCTGAAAGACTAAAGAATAAAGCAACTTTTCCTTCTACATAGTAGTACTTTATGAATTTATAGCTGATGATCATGACTTTTTTGAGTCTTCTGATGAACGTTTTAAAGTTGAATTGGGAATAAGTTTTGGGGTTCTTTGATCAGTCAGGAAATAATAATAATAAATAAAATCCTTAATTATTATTTTTTTTTAAAGAGAAAGACATCTAGGCATTCTGGCCACCCTACTATAGTCTTAATCACTATAAATGGTACCTCCCTACAGTAGAAGTTAGAGGTAAGAATTTCCTTCAGGGATATTGCAAATACAAAAATATTAAGTATTCAGGAACCAGCAGTTAGCGTAATGGCTATGTCGCTGGACTCCCATGTAGTCAATCCAGCAGTTAGCTTAATGGCTATGTCGCTGGACTCCCATGTAGTCAACCACAGTTCTCGTCCCAGACCCGGTGGCTTAAAACTCATGCCGGGTGCATGTGCATGCGTGCCCAAGATCCCTAGAGGAGAATGGAGGAGAAGGGATTGCGGTGTGACCATCCCCCCTGGGGGTGATTTCTTGCTTTCTGTCTCTCTGTCTCTGTCTGTCTGTCTGGCGAGCACACGCGCCCTATCACAAAAACCTCTCCAAAAAAAAAATTAAGTATGCATAATGTATATAGTCATGTTGCAATAGAGATTATGGTCTGAGCTAAAATAGGTAAAGGAGATTACGTGTGAAGAATACAAGTCTTGGAAATTATGCTTGAATTCAACAGGTGCAGGGAAAGGGGAAGGTTTAGGAGGTGAATATTTCTAGACCCTTAGCATCCCTACTTATTCCAATTGTCAGTATGGATCATCAAGCATTGTGACAACTGAAAGCTTCTCTGCACATGTACAAAAGCCTCTTCATTGAGAACAGCTGCTGATACTATGGCTGGAACAGTGGTTCTCATGCACATCAGAATCATCTGGAGCTCGGGACCAGCAGTTGGTGTAATGGCTATGTCACTGGACTCCCATGTAGTCAACTGTGCCTCAAGGCCTGGCTCCAGTGGCTTAAACTCACGCTGGGCACATGTGCATGCGTGCCCAAGATTCTGAGAGGAGACTGGAAGAGAAGGAATTGTGGCATGGCCATCCCCCTGGGGGGTGATTTCTCACTTTCTGTCTGTCTCTCTCTGTCTTTCTGGCGAGTGCACGCACTCTATAGCAAAAGCTTCTCAAAAAAAAAAAAAAAAGAAAAAGAAAAAGAATCATCTGGAGCTCTTATTAAAGGAAACTCCTGGGCCTCTTACTCAGTTGGTCCAAGATGAGGATTGATAACTTTATTTCTAACCAATTCCTAGATGATACTGATGCTGTGGGCACCTTAATTTCTGATCTTGAAGGAGAAGCCAGAAAGATTTGAGAGAAAAGAGGAGGATGGGAGCTGAAGGCAGTAGAATAATAATAGTACAATAAAAATAAGTAGAATGTTTAGTAACAGCTAGGTTCAGCTACAATTTATTATGAGCCAGTATTGTGCAAAGCACTTGACATATCCTTTTTAATCCTTGAAATAAAATTTAGCTTTTATTATTATTTCCATTTTATACCTGAGAAAATTAAGGACTAAATACATCAGGACATTTTCTAGGTCAAATATATATAGATTTAAACTATATCCAGCCAGTTGTAGGGTGCTGTCACTAATTAGTACAGCTGTCCCACAGCTCTAAGGTGTTTTGATGTGATGTGTTTGGAAGTACATTGTGTTTAAAACTTCCTAATCAGGATATGACCAGAAGAAAGTAGTAAGTAAATTACTCTGGTAGCATTGCATAGTGCTTAAAATCACAGAGGATATCTATAGATCTATTATAGCAGTACAAAGCATGATCAGAATTTCAGGAAACTTAACTTCCTATCCATTTTCAAAGTGACTAATAGTTCAAATGCTGCCATTAGGAGTATTGTTAAGACTGTATTCCTTTTCGTTTGGATATTTGCTATTTAAGAACCCAGATTTTGGATCAGAAGACTATCTTAGATCTGCTGGTTAGTATTCATTTGTTTATTCAAAACATATTGAGTTCTAGTAAAAATGGCAATAGCTTTTTCTTGTGAAAACTTTGATTTATTATCACTTTGTTTGGAGGCGACAAACCAAAACCAAGTTCAACTTCTCTAGTTGATAGCTTTTTAAACCTCTTTTTCAGAGAAGATTTTTAAACCTTTTCTTTGTCTTTGATGTTCTATAATTTCACTATAATATACCCAGGTATAGATGTATTTTTCCTGCTCAGATCTGAGTTTGTGTCTTTCTGGAAAATTCTTTATTATATCTTCAATTGTTTCTTCCTCATTCTCAGTATTATTTTCTTATGGAAATTTAATTAGATTATGTTGGATGTTCTCTAATCTGTCCCCTAATTTCATTTTTTTTCATATATTTAGTATATGAAAAAATTTTTGATATTTAGTATCAAAAACATTTTTGATAATTTCTTTGAACTGATTATTCTTTCTCCTACCCACTCCTAGGAGGAAATTGTAACTCAAGGGAGTTTCAGCTTTATGTGTGGAACGTAATCTGACTTTCCACCTTAGGTTTTGTAAACTTCCTTCT